ACCAAAATATACTTTGAGTAAGGCGCACCAATAGAAAACAAGGAATCACATTCTGCAACAGCAGCTTTCCTTTCCTGAAGAGGGCACTCTCGGGGGACTTCAGTTGAAGGAGGCCCTCACCATCCTGCCCTTGATAGGCTGTGGAGAGCACCAGTTCCCCACCAAGGCACAGGAGGCTCGCTCATTCCGCGCTGGAGTAGATGCTCCGCAGTTTGGCCATCTGGTCAGAGCTCACGGTGATGGGCTCCTTTAAGCAGGAGCCACACAATGCACTCCTCGCAGGGCGGTGTGGTGAAGGAGCAGTGGTAGCTCCAGGTAGGGAACAGGCAGGATGGGTCAAATTGAGTGAAGGGTGCCTCCATGCCCTTTGTCTTAATTTTGTCCAAGGCATCAAGAAACAGCTGGAACTCACCTTTCTCAAGTCCTATCTTCAGAAAAATGCCAACCACAGCTATTCCATCAGGCTGCCTCAGAGCTTCTCCAAAATTCCAGTGAACCAAATGGAGCTCAGCTGCATACTTGACTCCATCCACAGTGTGCTCAGAGCCATGATCAACCGAGGAGCCCCAGTGAAGATGAAACTGGCGAAGGAGATAGGGTCCAGTGAGGGGGCCACCTCTTAGCATTGATCTATCGTAAGTGTCATCAAACACGACCCTGCAGGTCTTCCCATTGCTCAGTATGGTCTTGGCAGAGCCAGTGTCATAAGATGCCAACCACGACTGCAGACACGATTCATGCTTGATGTCTTTGGTATGCATCTCAATGGATGACTGGTTGTCTCCCTTGGCAATCGGGTGAAGTCCATGCCAGTGGTTGGGACCATTGTGGCTAGCATAGCCCCACTCCTTGGCCATGGCTGCTCTTGATGCTGGACCGCTCCTGCCTTCTTTGTGTGGTGAGGTGCAGAGTTCCCGCCAGTCAACGTCTTTTATATAGGTTCTCCAGCACACTGCACGGCCTTATTAGGTCAGGGAGGGTGGGGCGGGGGGCTCAACTGGATTGGGATGGTATTTGGGAGGTGGGGTGGGGGGAAGCCAATGAATTCCAAGAGCTGGGCAGCTGTCCGGGTGCCGGTGCGGGGGTGGGAGTGGAAATGGGGGGGGGCCCTCACTCCTCCCCGCTCTCCCTGGAACCTTGGCTTCTAGTCTCCTAAGGCTGCAGGGCTTTCTTACGGGTGCGACATGCAGAAATGAAGGCGGTTTTCGCTTCATTCTTGCTCCCTCCTCCACGCACTATTTTCGGGATGGGCTATCAGGACTATGCTAAACCAGGAACTAATATCTGCACCCCAGCGGAGCTTGTAGCTTGCAGCTACACTTGGAAGTTGCTTTCAGCGCCTGCTGGCGCTCTGGCTGTGGTCTGCGGAGGTTTCTGCGAGTTTATTTCGCTCCAGCGATCCGGTTACGGTGGCTGGAAAGAACGTGTTTGTGTGCCTGACCCACGTTTTACTGTTTTATAAGCAATTTGTAAAATCCTGGGAGCAAAGGATGGGACGAAAAGGTTGGGGGAGGTCAGGTATTCTAATTCAGTTATCCTTAAAGAAATTGACAGTCTTGGGACCGCCCCAAGTGGCATTTCTCAACCTGGGGATTCCTTTGGTCTCCAGGATGGTGAGAATTGGGACGGCGCTGGGAATCAGGGAGATGGCTGGATCCCTGTTTAACGCAGAACCGTAGTGTGGGATTGATTAATCCATACTCCGTGAGCTCATGTAAAATTGATGATATTCTGGAAGACTATGAACATAAAGGGAGTTATATTGTTTAAAATGTAGGATTTCACTCTGCAAGACATAATGACAGAGGCTAGAAGAGGAAATGTGTTCAGCATTTTTTTGTTTTTGAATTTTCTGTCTTCCTTTCCAAAGTTGTTTTATAATACTATAGAGCCACAAAGAAGACTAGAATTGTCATATTCGGCGTTTACAAGAGAAAAAATGTATTTTTTAAATGACTGGTAATTGTTCATATTGAAAACGTTAGGGTGGCAGATATTTACTATGCTAGGAACAGATTGCAAGATTTCCCTCTCTGTACTAAGTCAGTAATAATTTCATTTTTTAAAAAGTCCAAAATTAAAACTTATTTTAGTGCTATCCTGAACAAGGTTGCAATTTACATTTCCTTCAATAATTTGACTTTTATTGGTATTGTAATTTGTATTTGGGGATTACAAAACTTGAAAAGGAAATCTCTCATCATGGCAAAGATAGCTCATCCCTAAGGCATGTGGAATGACTGACCACACTCATAAACTGGACGCCAACAGAGTCAATCCCCAGGGTATTTTTGTGACCAGGGATTATTTGATCCACACAATAGCAGTGTGGAATCAGGAACTGAGACAGTTTGGAAAATGCAAGTAAAAACACAACAAAACAAATGCCTTTAAACTCCAAGCTCAAATGTGTCACTGTTTGATCAAGTAGTCTGAAGAGTTGGGATGCCTAGGACCATTTGATACTTTGCTGTCGTCATATGGTGCTGGCTCTCTGTTTTATATTTTTATTGGCTAATGGAGGGGTTTCATACTTTTTATTAAGTGTTTTACAGTTTGTGTGAGTAAACCATAATCTTGTCATAATCCATTCAGTTGTTAACAATCTTTTTCTTCTGGTATATGTGGTTACCATATTGGAAACTACATGCTATTTTATATGAGTGATTTTATATAGGAGAAATACAGATAAAAAAACTTCTGGTGTTGTGCTGTGGATCAGCACTGGATACAAACCACAAGGTCGGCACTTCAAATCCACCAGCTGCTCCTTGAAAACCCTATACAGAGTTGCTCTGAGTCAGAATTGACACAATGGCACTTAACAACAACAATACAGATAAAGCCTTTTATAAAATATTTATATACAAGTAAGGTCAGCAATCCAGGAATTCATCCAATTTTTTCTGTTTATGTCTAAAAATACAAACCAAACACATTGCCCTTGAGTAGATTCCAATTTAATGCAACTCTATGTTGCTGTTGTTGTTAAGTGACAACTAATTTTCTGAGATCCATATTTGTGCATGGAGTCCTGGTGTGGCACTGTGGGTTAATGCACTGGACTGCAAAGTCAGTTTGAACCACAAGGTTGGCGATTCAAGCTCACAGCTGCTCCTCGGAAGTCCTATACGGGTCGCTGTGGGTTGGTATGACTCAATAGCACTTAACAACAACATAGTAGGGGTGGAGACAACTAGCCAGCAAAATCAGTTGGTCTGGCTCTGTCAAAACAACTGCAACTGGGACTTGAAATACAATAAACCTAGGAGCTTTTTTCATAGCAATATGAATTCATATTAAGTGAATCATGGTAATAATGTAAATTCTGAGGAACAAGGAAGGAACATCCATTATGGAATAGATAGGATATATATACGAGTCCATGATGAGAAAGACATGTATACTTCTCATTGGCTACCCTCAGCCCATCTCCCTGTATTGCGGTGACTCAGAGGAGTCAATACCAGGCAGGCTGGAAATGTATATGTTGCAAAAGTGTTAACACAGTGTGGCGAAACTAGGCCATCTGGTAATGATGAGACGAGAAAGGGTGATATGATTCCTCAAGATGTTGATGACCTTGCCTCCAATGGTTGACAACGATATTTTGACTTCTTTGCCGACATAGATGATAAATCGAATACAATCTTTATCCACATGTCCATAATCAATAATCCTCATAAAAACTGAATCTTAGTTGAAGATCAAGGGAATTACAGTACACAGAAAAGACCTCAGGAGTGAACAATATGAATGTTGGATATGTTCCAAAACCAAGATGCAGGATTAAAACAGTAATCAAAGCAAAATAATCATGTTGCTGGCAACACACATACTGGATAGTTATAAACACTTAAGTGGTGTGACATCCTACAAATGGTGACTTCAAAGAAAATTGCTGCAGAGTGTCGATCTTTCCAAGAGAAATGGACAAATGGTTATTTTTTTGTTGAAATTAAAGGCAAACACACCTGTGTGCCTAGTTTGTGGTGATGAGTTAGCAGTAATAATAATAATAATCAAAAAAAACAATGTGGAGCATCATTGCAGCTCAAAACATGCTAAACTCAATGAATTGGGAAGCCAAATGCATCTGGATTAAAATCAATTCTCTACAGCAGTTTGGAATCTCAACAAGCCACTTTCACTAGGCCCCATTGTGACTGAGACAACGTTAACCAAATGAGTTATACAGTAATCAGACTAATCACAAAGAAGCTAAGGCCTCATGTAGAGGGAGAGTTTGTAGAAGAGTGAATGGTGGCTGCTGTGGAGTTGTTAGAATCAGACAAAGTAAAATTGTTTCAGAGTGTTATTTTTCGAATTACTGATTTAGTACAAGATATTGAAAAAACAATGATTAAAAGATTCTGCAGATTTCCAGTGTTTCTCTCTGGCTTGTTAATACACCCCAACTGGCCATTTTCATTCGTGGGATAACTGCAGAGTTTGACAGATGAGAAGAATTGCTGGCACTGGAAGCCATGCATGACTACAAGAGGTGAAGACTTGTTTGAGAGACTTGTTTTATCAAGGAAACAACATGAGTTAACATTTGAAAAGTTAAGTGGACTTACTACAAATGGAGCTCTAGCTATGGTTGGCTGGAAAAAAAGAGTTTATTGCATTTGGCACAAAAGAACTGAATAATCTCAATGTTGATCCTAGTAATTTTATTATATACCACTACGGCGCTGTGGGTTATATACGCCAGACTGCAAAGCCATTTGAACTGCAAGGTTGGTGGTTCAAGCTCACCAGCTGCTCCTCGGAAACCTTGTAGAGGGTAGCTATG